GGTCATTTCTGCTCTTTATAATTACGTAACGTTGCTGCCATGTAAATGTTGGTATTGCATATAAATGAATAAGTATCACCTTGTAATCCATGACCAGGTCAATATGTAACGTATACTAGTGTCACATTGGAATCACATTCCGTTCAGACGCAAATCGCGATCCGGTGAACCGGTTCGAAACTACCCTCCGAAGTGGTTTTGGATCGAGGGGCTTTCAATGCGATTTGGAGCGTTCAGATTGACTTGAATCCTGCTTCGGTGGGAAAAGGATCGAAACCGATTGTAGCGGTTTGGTGTGAATGGGGCCTTACACGTTACATGGAATTTTGTCCGAAAGTACACATAAGCACCCCCATTCATCAACATATGCCTTACCTTTATATGTGACTTTATGTAATATTAAATTCCTATGTTGTTTCTATCATTACCGTAGCTGTAAAACTGCTAAATTCTCGTGTTGTTTGCGGGAGGAAGGTTCTTTCATCGAACGCAGGTTCTTGCTCTGAAGACGAGAATGCACATCAGTTAATGCAATAAAAAATATTAAAATGTGATTTCGTTTGTTGTTCTTCTAAAACCTATTTTCCAGGCACCACTCAACCCCTTGTCACACATAGACGACTATGACCTCCCGAACACGACCGAACTCCCCTCAACCATGGTTAGGATGCGGAGTTGATCGGCAGCAAGGTCGAGTGTGGTTGGCTGGTGATCGGCGAGGTTGGCTACTGTTAGGATCCACCAACCGATGTTGCACAATGTTTAAAACATTCGGGTACCGGTTTAGATACCCTGGAATCCAAACTCGCTGTCCGGGCCGCAAAAGCCCTTCGCCCGCTGGTGTAAATTACCGCTACGGGGGAGTCTAGCCCGGGGGGAGTTTGGCTGGCCGGACCAACTCCCATCGGGCTCAACTCCCCCGTAGCGGTAATTTAGGCAGGCGGGCGAAGGGCTCTCGGCTGCCGAAGGAAAAAGGCTAACGGCCCGATACTAGTTTGGCATCCAGGGTACGGTTTAGACGGAACTTTCGTTAAGGGTTGGCTATTGATTGGCTGGTGCTTTTAAGTAGGTAGGGCGTGTTTGGTAGTCAAATTTGACTCAAATTTAGCTCAAATTCAATTGGATCCGTATAAAAATGTAGGCGTTGTGTAAATCTGGACAGACTGCTCCCGAAGTAAGGTCAACCTTAAGGGGCTTCAGCCAACCTTGGTCGGCTGGTGTTCGGGGGAAGGTTCTGAATGTGTGACAGGGACTTCAGCCAACCTTGGTCGGCTGGTGTTCGGGGGAAGGTTCTGAATGTGTGACAGGGGCTTCAGCCAACCTTGGTCGGCTGGTGTTCGGGGAAAGGTTCTGAATGTGTGACAGGGGCTTCAGCCAACCTTGGTCGGCTGGTGTTCGGGGAAAGGTAACAGTTCTGAATGTGTGACAAGAGCTTGAATGCCCCAAGTTCTGCTGACCACTTCCCCTCTACTGGAACTGTATCTAGCTCACCCCACACTTGAACGTTATCTACTAGGTACCAGCTCTCTATCCTTGGGATATACTGGAGACACAGCTCACCTATTTCTCTCGTGGTGAATGTCAGCTCGAACTCAGTCCTGTGCTGAGTTAGATTGCCGTGGTTGAAAACAAAGCGTAGCTGATTACCGGTACTAGCCGTGGAGACGTCTGGAATGGCTGGCTCTGGTAGATAAAAAAATCATGATGTTTTTACGAGTTATTATTTGGACTGTGCTTATTGTTTTATTTTGTGTTAGCTAGTTTGTTTGCTTCTTTTATACGTCTATTGTAAATACTAGTAAGTAAAGCCCCAGCCAAAATTTCAATGATTCGGATGCAACTATGAAACAAACGTTTTAAACATATTGTCACTTTTAAATTCTATTTCTACATACATGGAAAGTGCGTGTGTGTGTTTGTCTGTGTTTGTCTGTGTGTGTGTGTGTGTGTTTGTCTGCGTGTGTGTGTTTGTCTGTGTGCATGTGTATATATGTGTGTGTGTGTGTGTGTGTGTGTGTGTGTTGTCTCT